TAGCAATAAAAAAGATAAAAATCATATATACTCAAAAAAGCATTTAAGAGTAGCATTACAAAAGTATAATGAAAAAATACACACTAAAATCTTTTTGCTGCAAAAATAACTAAAATAATAAAACACTCAAGTTACTTTTTAAAGTAAAATTTTCCTCTCAAAGTGCTTCTGATCTCGGGCATTTGATGATACTTGTACGACATTTTATAATCAATAGGATTCCCTGATACTTTGTAATTAACGAGAAGTAGGAGCTCATCAAGACTAAGCCTTGAAGAATATTTGGGATCAAGAAACTCACACAATGCTTTTATATATTGTGAACCAGAGTAGACACCTCTTGCAGCAACGTTGCCATCAGAAGTGCTAAAACCAAACAAGAAATCAGCTTCTGGTGGTAATGCTCGAGCAGTACCATCAGCAACCATCTCTTCTTCTTTATTTGGAAGCCATTGCCCAGACGAATCAGCAGTTGAAGGCTCTGGTACTTCAGTCCCTCGACAAGCTTGAAAGAAAAATACTTTGGGTTTTCCATGAAGTGCTGGGCATTTTGTAGAATTTATACTTTTAGCCAATTCAGCGACAGTAACTGTTTTCCCATCAACTCCTTCAACTCCTGCTGGATTGCCATGAGACAGAATGCAACATATGAAACTATCATGTTTCTTGGTTACTAACCCAGCAGCAATTGCACTAACTTTTGTTCTTATTTCTTCAGCCGGTAAGTCTTCATGAACTATCACTTGATAGCGAAGGCCTTCAAATAATTCCTTTAATCTTTTAGCATCTTCGGCTGATGATTTACGATCAGCTTTATCTTTCTCTTTAAAGTAGACATTATTGATGATCAGCACGACTCCATGTTCTCCTGTCTCGTTGACTTTATACTTGTACACAATATCATCTGCAGCAGCTTTTTCTTCATCGTTCTTTTTCTCTTTTTTTGATCCGAAACCCAATGCATCAGATGTCACCTAATTTGATATAATTGTAAGCATACATTATTGTATAATCTTACTTCCTCTGAGTCTTTTCCTTGTTCTGAGAGTTGAGGGGATGAAGATTGAGCTACAAACAAAAAATCAAATATTCACTAAAGCCATCAAAACCATACATGTACTACCAGTACTGTACTAACAAAATGCAATTAGTTTTTGTAACAATAATTAACATTCAGAGGCATGAAACCAAATATTGCAATGATAATCATCAATCATTTTGGTACAATTTAGGTGTGGAAAATCATAAATTAACATAATACAAAATTTACATCCAAAAATAAACACAGAAAGGCAATACATAAACACAATGCATGAGTAAGTATCAATTATCACAAATTAAATCTTTATAGTATATCTTACCACTTCCTGCCACATTAGTAGTATGAATGGGAGATGGACCAACTGCTGAGTCAGAAACAACAGCAGGAACTGAGCCACCAGCAGGCTCATACTTAAGCAATTTGGGAGCTGGGCCAACAGAGTCACCAACTGGACCACCAGCGGATTCATATTTGGGCAAGCTATATCCATCTATGAAAATACACAGTAAAAT